TTTTTTTAGAAAGAACTGAAATTTTATTCAAATAAATAAATAAAATAAGTAAATATATTGTGGTACACACGGCTGTGACCGTTGCTATGGTGGAAAAGTTTGGTAAATGATTCGCATGAAAAAGTGTGTTCATATTTATTTATTTATTTAAAATATATAAAATGATCATAAACCCCTCTTAAAAAATTTATAAAAAAAAATCATGATACCATTATCCCGAAGCAGACCTCTGATACTTCTCCTTCCTTGCGGAGATCCTCGGAATGAGATCTACGAAGCCACCAACTCCCTCTCCGACCACAAAATCCTCAACCTTCCCTTTTTGAGAATGAAGCCTCCGAGAAAGATGAAGCACTTGCAAACATTATATGCTTTTGGGACAAAATGGACATTTCACAAAATAAAATAAAATTAATATAATAATAAAATTTACATTAAGTAAAATCTAATGTTAACCTGGACCATTCAAATATTATATTATACTTAATTTAAAATTTATTTATATTTTAAATATTAAAAATTATAAGTAATATTTTATTTTAATTTTTAATATTATAAAATTATAATATTATATTTTTATATTAATTATTATTATTAGTTTATGAATATCGATAATTCAATTTTAAATTAGTATTTAGATCGGTTTTATGATTTATTTATTTTTAAAAAAAAATTGGAGAGCCAGAAATAAATTGTAAGCAGTGGCGGCTTCTATTTCTGACTCGTGTACGCATGACTACATGAGTTTCAGTAGAGTAGGTAGTGGAATCCATAAGCACTGCGTCACCTTAATTACTGGCGCGTCTAATAAATAGTTCCACCCCACCACGTACACCGACACACACATTACAACGCAAGCTGCGTTACCTCACACTTAATTGCTAATGGCACCGTTCCTCTACTACTCCCTCCTCTTCCTCGCTTTCACCCTCACTATTAAGATTTTGCTCCAAGCCCAATCAAGAAGGCCCAAAAACCTCCCCCCGGGCCCACCGCCCTTCCCGCTCATCGGAAACCTCCACCGCCTGAAGCCGCCCATCCACCGCAGCATCTCCGCGCTCTGCCGGACCTACGGCGACATCGTCTCGCTCTGGTTCGGCTCCCGCCTCGTCGTGGTGGTGTCGTCGCCGTCGCTGGTGCAAGAATGCTTCGGGAGAAACGACGTCGTGCTGGCGAACCGGCCGAGGTTCCTGGCGGGGAAGTACATCTTCTACAACTAGGTCGGCCTCCTACGGCGACCACTGGCGCAACCTCCGCCGCATCACCACCATCGACGTGCTCTCCACGCACCGCCTCAACTCGTTTGTCGGGATTCGCAGGGACGAGGCGAGGAGGCTGGTTGCGAGGCTGGGACAGGACGCCACGTGTCGCGAGGGCGAGGCGCTTAAGAAGGTAGCGCTGAGGCCGAGGCTGACGGAGATGACGTTCAACGCCATGATGCGGATGATTTCCGGGAAGAGGTATTACGGCGATGACTGCGACGTGACGGACGCTGAAGAAGCCAAGCAGTTCAGGGAGATCATATCGGAGATGCTGTCGCTGTTAGGTGCCAACAACAAGGGTGATTTCTTGCCTCTTCTCAGGTTTAGTGTAACTCAAACCTTATCACTTTTCTCACTCTTTTTTTTTTTTTTTTTTTTTTTTTGGTTTGTTTAAGGTTAATTAGGACATGACATGAGTGTGAGTTTTGAGTTGGTATAGGTTGTTTGATTTTGATGATTTGGAGAAGAGGCTGAAGAGGATTGCGAAGAGAGCTGATGCGTTCTTGCAGAGTCTGATTGAGGAGCATCGCAGTGGGAAGCACGGGAATGCTGACACCATGATTGATCATCTCTTGAAACTGGGAGAGTCGCAGCCTGAGTACTATTCGGATCATATGATCAAAGGTCTTATCCAGGTAATTAATTAATTAATTAATCATATTTAAACAACTTTTATCCCCCATCTTTTTCATTCATTTGTTTCACTTGCCAAACATATAATCATAGTTTCTTGGAAGTTGGATTTGTTTTCAAAGGGAGTCATTAATAAGATAGTTACTCCCTCTATTTTTTTTTAATACTCTTTTAAAGTTTTACACGGTACTTAAAGAAATTATTGATATTTTAGTTTTTAAAAATATTTATTATTTACTTTCTTATTTTATCTTTTATTTTTATTTTTTTTGTATTTTTTAGACTGTTGAATTATTCCATTAAATAGTTGTCCCTTTTTTTGTTTTTTATAGTATTTTGTTGAGAATATATTGTTCTTATAAATGAACATTAATTTTATATGAATAGTTGGAGAAAAATTAGGTAGACATTAAAAATAAATACACACATTGTTCAAGAAACATGTATTAATTATCAAGGGTAAAAATGAAAGAAAAAAATTAATAACTCATTATTTTAGTAATATGACAATGAAAAAAAAATAACAAACTCTGACAAAACGACTACGAAAAAAAAATGGAGGGAGTACTTTTCTCGCTGTTTAGTTGATTAAAAATTGACTAAATTCTATTTTTAGTCTTTAATTTTAAAATTTGGGACAATTTGTTTTTTTTTTAAATAGTGATTTTTTAGGATTTTATTTTATTTTTTAAATTAATTTAAGACATAAAATTTATTTTATTAAATTTATTTATATGAAAACCATAAAATTCAATAAATCTTGAGGGAAAAAGAATTATAAAACTAGTAAAACACGAAAACCTACAAGTAATTAGAAAATGTCCAATGAACTCATTTTCAATCAATTTTTATCATGTTTTTGTCTTTTTATTTTATGGAACACCAGTTTGGTTCATGTAGTTTTTAGGTAGGTGAATTTTAAATTATTAAAAATGTATTCAAAATTGTGACTTAAAATTAATAAAAATAAACACGATTTGAAAGGATCAAATTAAACTAAACTTCAAAATATAAAAGACAAAATAATTTTTAAAAAAAATAAAAGAGCAACATGAATCAAGGTAAAATTAAAAAATAATAATAATAATTTAGTCTTTAAAGTAAAATAAAAGTCCGAAGTTCAAAAATAATATCTCCTCCTCAATTCTGATTGTCCTTAACATAAAACGGAATACCTCTTCCGTAGTACCAAAAAAGTCGTAGTTCTTATACACGAGCTCTGCCTGTCAAAGACTACGTCATTAATTGGATTAGTTGCACTCCTTTGACCTAAACATATATACGAGCATACGTACTCGTGTTTTTTTTTGTTTTTTGTTTTTTATACATATCATTTTTTATATTTATTTTAAACATTTATTAAATTTTTTCTTTCACTTTACTCTTTTCTTTTGTAATATATAGGGAATATATCAAATCATAGTTTCTTTTTAATGTAAACTATAATAACTATAATATAGAATATTAGATCATATATTCTTATTGATCCAAATTAAAAATAAATAAATGTATGATCTAAATTTATAATTATCATTTTTTACAATAATTATCAGTCATATAATAGGCCTTATATATACAGGGACGTATCTTGTAAAAATGATTTTTTATGTGAGAACGAAACAGGTAAATCTAATTTATATAACTATAATTAAATGTATGATTTTTTTTTTTTGGGTTATATATCAATATCTTAAAGTAATTTGATTTGATTAGGAGATAAATAAAATTTAGTTAAAGAATCCTTTTTATTAAAGATCGAATTTAGATACTGTCTCAATAATTCAATTTTGGATTTAACACATTAATCACTTTAATTGTATGATTAAGATTTGAAGTCATATAATCACTTAAAAGAATTATAATTTGTGTTTTAATTTCATGAAAAAATTTATTATTAGTTATTTTTGTCAGATAGAAAATTTGCTAGTTAGTATTCAATTTTTTCAATCTTAAATAAAAAAACACATTCTATATATTTTACTTAGCAGTTGCATGAATGTAATGGTCTAGCTATATTTGCGGTTTATTCAAGAAGATGAATATTTTACAGAAATTAAGATTACATTCGTCCGTATTAAAATTTTATATTTATGTTTTTATGACTATTAAATAAACCTCATAAATTAAATTTTTTTTTATGAAACTCATAAATCTAATATTTTTTAACGAAAAATTTAATAATTAACACAAACCTCATTTCCATACATGTCACAAGAAAAATAAGATTGCCATCATTTGCTTACATATGCCACCAAGTCCAGGTGGAAAATCTTCAGAATTTAATTTAAATCAACAAATAACGCATATATATTAAGGTAAAAATAATAAGATCTTAAAAAATATGTATGCGTTGTTAGCCTGTTAGGTAAATTTTTTATTTTTATTAGCTCTTAAATTCACTTTAAATCAATTTACACCATGACCAACTTGAACTATTTAAAAATATTGTAATTTAAAAATATTGTGATCAAATTAAATTATAAAATTAAAGAAAATAACAAAAATATAATTTAGCCACACAAGAAATAATTATAATGTAAAATAAACTATAATAATTGATAATTATTTAATTGGAAGCATGTGAAGCGCCCAAATATGAAAATTAGTGAAATTTTTTTTTTTGTTGGTATTTTCGGTTTTATTCAGATTTGAAGAAGACACTCCATAAATAAGCTCCCTAAAAGTCATAAAAAAAAAAAAAAAAAATTCCTCCCACTATCTTAATTAAAACTTACTTTAATAAGAAAAAAAGCTCATTTTAAAAGACCACTAAGAGATTTGAGTAATATGAACATGCACAAGATCTTAATTTATTATAAATAAAAAAAAGTGTTTGGCCCTACTTTTTGTTTTAAAGAAAATATAAGTTAAAAAAAGTCAGGTCAAAAACACTATAAACATATTTGTTTTATATATAAGAGAATTTTTTTATAGACAAATATCAGTAATTAGTGTGTTACGTTACCTATGAGAACACCCGCTTTCCGTATCAATCACTTTCATCCCTATATCCCTCCCCCACCACAATACCACCTTATAACATCCTCCCCCACCACCATACCACCTTATAACATCCGTTTTATATGAAAGTTTAAATAAAAACTATCCATCATAACTTTAATCTAAGTTACTTCCTCCGTCTTATAATAACTTATTTTTACACAGATAAAAAATAATAAATAAATAAATAAAAGAGAATAGTAATTTTATAAAATTAACCACATTTTTAATTTTCTGTTTGGAAAGATGCAATCCAACTTACTTTCTACATAGTATTATTAGGGATATAAATGAAAAATAGATAATTAATACCAATTGAAAAACTAATAAGACACTTACTTTGAAATTTATTTTTTCTTTTAATGTGATACTTATCATAGAGCGAAATGATTATAATTTTGTAATTTAATTTTAAACTTCAATATATTTTTAGTTCTTGCAAAATAAGCATGTCTTGATTTTGATCCTTATAAAAAATTGTTTGTATTTTATCCCTCAAAAATTTCAAACTATAGTTTTTGTTCCTATTATTTTGTGACAATTTTTAACTACTTAAGTTTATATTAGAATCCCCTCAAAAAAAAAAAAAGTTTATATTAGAAGGTTATTATGTGATTATCTCATCTGGTACTGATAGTTGTCCATGATACTTGTTTTGCATGTCACTTCTTAATTTTTTTTTATAAATCCTTAAAATTAACATTATATATATGTACCTAAAAATGATTCGTAGGAACCAAAAATAATGATTTTAAATTTTATAAGGATGAAAATTAAAGAAAAATATTTTGCACAAACTAATACCAAAATTTGTTTATTTAATAGGAACTAGAAATAATGTTTACAAACTTTAAAAATATGAAAAATAAAGAAATTTTTTTACAAAAATCAAAATTAAAACTCACCCATTTTACAATAACTAAAAATAAAAACATATTTAAGTAGTTTTGCTTTTTTTAGAAAAAAAGTACACGCTCTACAATCATGTTAATTATTCAACTCTGGTAAATGGGAGTTGTACTGAGAGGATCACATCGGTCACGTGAAACGGCACGTGACACATCCTCTCGGCCACCGAAAGTGCCAAGACAAAGGGTGTTCTTTCAAAGTACAATAGTCTCGGTCATGTCGACCACTAAGATAATCAAGATTATTGGATTTCTATCACCTAATTAGTCACTAATCTCAGGCGCGTCGGTAGTCGAGATAGTCGAATCTATAAGGTTCCTTACACCCAAGACGACGAACTCCCAATCATACTAGTAACCTAACTAGTCGGTCAATAACGTCTTGGCTCGATTAGAGGCTGAGACTCGAAGACAGCCTTGTGTAAGACGCTCATACTTAGGCGGTCCTATTCCTCTCAGCTCGGCCAATGGCCAAGATGGCTAATGTACCATGATTAGAACAATAATCATGATTAACAGGGACAAACACATGATTAAGACATAATCAGTCGTTTAGCACCATATTACATAATTTGGTAAATGTCAAAGAAGATCCACCACACTCAAGGCCCATTATAAGTAGTATAAATAAGTCACGTAAAACGAGGTAGGTTCCTGTTCATTATTACTATCGAGATTCGTGCTTGTCTTGACTTGAGCGTCAGGATATCTTTTACAGGTACCCTTTCCCTTTTAGAGCGTTTTTCCGGAACTCTCGTTCGGCCTTCATTACGAGTGTGCCTTTAGACAAGTATAATTTTATTTTATTATATTCTAAAAAGAATTATCAACCGGAAAGATTACAACAATGGAGATTTAACATAATTCATCATGTATTTAGTCCAATTCTCATCACCAGGACAACCCTTGTGCTTATTCTATATTATATAATTTGATCAGTAACTCAAACTATCGAGATTATATATATTTTTGTAATTTTAGACAAGAACTTATTAAACCCAATGTATCTTGTTAATTAAATGCTACTTGATTTCACATGAGTTGCAGGCTATGCTTCTTGCTGGAACAGATACATCAGCTGTGACCATAGAGTGGGTGATGTCTGAATTATTGAACAACCCCGAAGTATTAAAGAAAGCAAAGGATGAAATAGACACACAAATTGGAAAGGACCGATTGGTAGAAGAACAAGATCTATCAAAACTTCCATACCTTCAAAACATAATTTCCGAGACACTTCGATTGCATCCTCCAGCTCCATTACTATTGCCACATGAATCTTCAGAGGATTGTACCATTGGAGGATACCATATTCCACGAAACACTATAGTCTTGACTAATGCGTGGCTCATTCATAGTGATCCTAAACTTTGGAGTGACCCCATGAGCTTTATGCCCGAGAGATTTGAAAAAGAAGGGGAAGTGAACAAGTTAATTACATTTGGGCTAGGGCGTAGGGCTTGCCCCGGATTGGGCCTGGCCCAACGTACGGTGGGCTTCACAATGGCACTATTGATCCAATGCTTCGAATGGGAACGAGAAAGTGAGGAAAAACTTGACATGATGGAGGACAAAGGGATTACCATGCCGAAGCTAATTCCGTTACAAGCCATGGCCAAATCACGACCTATCGTCAATGACGTCATGAAGTAATTAATTAGTATTTTGCAGTAATTGTAGTGATGTGTGATGACAAAATAAATATGCATTTTCAATGCTTAAGGGACGTGAATAATGTGTATTCTAGAGTAAAATAAAATGTTGAATAACGATCATGTAATGATTAACAATTAACGGATGGTTAGTGTATACAAATTAGCTCCTCTTAAATTTATATTTTGTAGTTGATATTTATTTATAAGAGAAATGTTTTCTCTAACACTCTTT